TTCCTTTCTTATGAGCCATATGCTCTTTGATACGAGTGATTCCTCCTTTAATCACCCTTCCATAGTACTTACATTGTAGCTTGCTTATACTACCATCCAATGAAATAACAAATTTCCATCCAATGTCCGCACTTGGAGGTAGTTGTTCTTCTATTCTTTCTTCTCTATCTCGTACATTTTTTAGCACCTAGTATGTTAGGAAAATAAAAAAAATAATGTAAGTAATTAACTTAAATATCATTAAAGTTTTAGAATTATGCAAGCTTAATGCAAATACTCACATTATTAAATTGCACATATATATATATATATATATATATATATATATATATATATATATATATATATATATATACAAGTTAGACACAAACACACACATATATACATATAATGAGGAATATCAAGCTATCAACCTTTATATAAACATCATCCACACACCTAACAAATAAAAATTCCTACCTTGGCAAAAACCCTATACGCACAAGCTACAACCATTAAAAAAACGTATAAGTTATAAAAAAAAACACAAATATTTCAATTTTGTTTTTACCAAAATTCTATTATAAATCTTTAAATAAGAAAAATAAAAATTCTAATAACACTAAATATGAAAAAAAAAAAAAGAATCTAATTACTAATTTTCTAATAACACGTTGTTGGAAAGAGATGCATTGGAAAGTTATTTAGATTTGTAAGCATGATGATTTATACATAAAAATAGACATTATCTTAATCTAAAATCTAAAATAATAAATTATGGATTGATTTTATATATAAACATCTTGCTTTTCTTAATTTTTTTTTACTATGAGATATTTACCACTCTAAAGTACACCGAATACTTAACAATAATAATAATAATACACCGCACAAAGTCACATGTACGCCTAGGGATAATAATATCCCGCACACATTTTCAAACTCCAATAGATTTAACATAGGTGTTTTTACTGCACAATCTAAAATACATTTTCTTTTTAAAATGATTTATGATTTTTAAGGATGCATTTTCTAGATTTATTTAAAAAATGAATTTTACAAAATACAAACAACAACGTTGGAACTCCAAAATTATAAGAAGAAGGAAAAAAAAATATTCTTCACTACCATGTCTATTCCTTATCAAAAATACTTTCCAATCAATATATATATATATATTAGATCCAACCAAAGTGGTGCTAAAATTAAAGAAAAATCTACAAAACCCAATAACTAAAATGACCAGTAACATGTTTGTTTATATAAATAAAGCGGACAAATAGAGATTTAGGTAGAGAGGAAATACAAGTACATACGTGTGCTTCCAAGCTTTCAATCCAAAAGTAGGAAAATTTAAGAATCCGCAATATCCATTTTTCCTCGCAAAAACCACTAGAAAAAAGCCCATATGAAGTTGTTTGGAAAGTACTTTGCAAACCCATGATCTTGTTTCCAACAATAACAACTTAATCATATAAAATTAATAATGAATTTTTTCATAAATTTACATAAAAAGTAAATAAAATTAACTTAAATAAAAAATTACCTTTATAAATTTTTCACTTTCGGAACAAATTAATAATTGAAAGTGGTCGGTACTTGAAACTTGAGAAGTTAAAAGAGGTTTGTTGACGAGTTGAATTTAAGTATTTAAAATTGAAGATTTGGTTTTTTAGGTTGAGGCATAAGGGATTGAAACTGATTTACGAATAAATGGATAGTATAAAAACTTAAGAAAGTGTAACAACTTGAGAAGTGAGCATATGAAGTCCGAAGAGTGACCACTCTAAATAGAATTTAAAGAAATAAATTTACGAATGAATGTTACCGATATTGCTCTGTAATAATTGAATTTGTATAATTTATCCGTTAAATTCAAAGGTCGGACGCTTGCAGCCTTTGAATTTAAAGGTTCTACTTGCGAGCAAGGCTTAGACTTGCGAGAGACCACTTTAAAAACGCCAAATGCAAAGAATGTCAGGTGCGACCTTTGAATTTGGTGAGAATCTTGAAGAGTAAGTTATACATTAATACTTTTAGTTTTTATAAATTTAATTAATTAGTCCCTCTAGTTTAATAAATAAATTAATTAGTTCTTAATGTTTTAAAATTAATTATATAAGATTTTAATTAGTATTGATATTTTTAATATAATAAATTATTTCATAATTATTTTTTCATCAACTTTTTTATGGTATGATTTTTTTCTATTTTTTAAATAAATAAAAAATAAATTAGATAACAATATAAAATGCATAAAAATAACTAAATTATTGATTTATGAAATAAAAAGGATTAACTGAAGTTTTTCTTTAAATAAAAGGACTTATTTTTAATTTATTTGAATTAGTAAATATTTTCATTCTCTAAACTTTTTATTCTCTAAAAATTAATCACATAACAAGTGAATTTTTTTATTGATATTTTGTGCTTGTTCAATAGTCATTTCACAAAAATCAAGATAGATACAATTTTTCTTTACATTGTCTTCTTCCTCAAAATTCAAATTAAAGGCCTCGCAACTATAACTTTTTCATAATTCCACGTTTGTCACGGACTCACAGTTTGAAAATTTTGTTGGAGAACAACTGGATCTGACACTGCCAGCCTCCGTAAAAATTGCAAATGAGATTCTTTTCATTAGATAATGCAGGCTTGCAGGCAAAAAGCAAAAAGAAGGTAAAAAAGTCCCTCCTTAGTCTTTTTCATTGATACCCGTGGGAGAAAGAAAGTATAAGAAGACAAAAAAAAGTCCAGCAACATTTCTTTCATTAAATAATGTAGGAAGAAAGCAAAAGAAGGCAAAAAAGTCCCTCCTTTTCATTAGTACCTACGGACGAAAGAAAGCATAAAAAAGTCCTATCGCATTTCAACCCTTTGTTTCAGCAGACTTAAATATATACATAACGCTGTTATATAATGGCTAATAACGGCGTTATGTAACGGTAACATCGTTATCGGTCGTTATAGGTGTGAAACGGCGTTGAGGTCTTTATAACGTCGAAAAACGATAACGGGTTGCTCCGTTATCATTATATAACGACCGTTACATCTGTTTTTTAAAATCATGGGTAGGTCGAAAGCAATCACAAATTTTATCAAATTATAGAGACATACTAATTTCTTTTAAAGATCCTTATTGGAGAAGGAAGTGATGTTATGCTTAACTTAAAACTATGTTAACAGACTTCTAAAATTGTTTATAGTGCATGCAATGATGTCATTTAGTAATTCAAAGAACTTAGGAACAACACCTTCAATCCTCTTCAAATACATACCATGCTCTATTTTCAGGCCATTTCAATGAGATCGTCAAATTGAGATGAGAAATAATTTATCAAGTACTGTAAGTATTGAGATTCAAAAGTATGAACAGAGGTGACAGCATGTTTCTACTTAGTCAACAAAGGATAACTCTGGCTAGCATTGCTTGCCATCTCTTGGCATATCATTTTACAACCTCATCTTCATCTTTTTTCATGCCCAGAAGGTTTATCACATTCTAAAATCAGCATAACACTAAATTCACTTGCCAGATTCATATTCATTTTTTCTCATACTCAAAAGGTTTTCCCCATCACAAAGCCATCTTAACATTAACCTTGTTCTACTGGCTCATCATCGCCTTCTCTCATGCCTCAAAGGTTTGCCTTTACACAGAGTTTTTAAGCATTGATAATGCATTCTTTTACCACGTTATTGACCAAGTCAAAACTATCTTCTCTTGAAATCAAGTGTCCAGGAATTAGATCATATGCCAATTCCCTCTAATTTTTATCAAATCTTTCTCAAACATAGGGAAACCAGACTTGATTTATTCGTCTTTTTTGTTATCAATAGTTTTACTTTGGATAAGACTTTCCTTTCAAGAGTGCTGTTTGAGGTGAAAACGTTATTTCAAGTTTCGAAATGTGACCATTTTTTAGCGTAGGGAATGTATTTACCATTATATATTCTCCTTTTGAAGATGAAATACGATGCTAAGTATACTTTCAAATGCATATTTTTATTTTAATTCAATCATAAAGTCATGCATAAGAAAATTGACACCATTAAGATATGTCACTTACTTCATGCAAAACCAAATAAAATATATCACAAAACATTTTCAAAATAAAATTTGCAAAGTATGAGCATGCGTGAGCCTTTTATGTGATCTTCTTCATGCTTATTCAGTTTTTTCATTCTATTTGTTGGAAACTATATAGTTCGACAGCATATTGGTGCTGATATTTGGTGTACCTGTATTGCTTTCCGTAAAAGAATCCTAACCACCGAAGGCTTCAGGTTCTCAACTCTCTTTTCTTTGCACTTTTAAAATACCTGTTGATCATTTTCTTTGTCATTCACGCGCGTAAAACATTCTACAAAGCCTATTCAGACAATTTCTTCTCTCTTTGAGCACCAACTAAATCGTCAGAAGGTCTCTCGACCAACTAGAAGAAGTTATTTTGCAGGTATGCGGTGTGGAGAAAGACAAGACGCTCAATCTTTTTTTCCAAGTCACATTCAAGTCATAACTAGCCACTTCACTTCCATTTTACTGGACGAGTTTCTTAGAATCATCAATATTCACCCAAAATATCAAGTAATTGGATGGCGACTCTCAGATAACAATTTTTTCCTCCAGAAAATGATTCAACATCTACGAATAATTAACAATACCAACAAAAGAGAGGGAAAAAAAACCTTTTCGTTATTATGTTTTTGGAGGGAAAGATACTCCATTATTATTACTTTTTCCTCTCCTTCCGAAGAAAAATAAAATAAAAGACAAAGCTATCCTATTCTCAACCGTAGTACTGAAAACACACACAAACCGGGCACAAAAATTGATGAAAAGCGTATATTTTGTATCTTTATATTATAGATTGTTTGGAATTAATCTGTCACTTAACCCCGAACTTGACCGCCATGAGCTTCGAAACAAATTCGAAAACCTTCCGCTGGTCATGCTCTACTGACTTGGAAACTGTTTCCTTAAGCAAGCATCTCTTAGCCCATGCCACAATCTTGGGGCACTACTCTTCCATGCTAAATTTTCCAATTGTCTCAAATGCATAGAAAAAGTTGTGGAAGGGAATGAGTGCAATGTCTATAAAACCAAAGATCCCACCTCCAGAATATGGTTTGTCACCAAGTTCTCCTTCCAACGCTTTAAAGCTTTCTACGAGACCCTTTCCTGCTTGGCGTTCACTTTTTGGTGTCCATAACATCAGTGCGTTAAGCACAATCTGCAGTGTACATATTTATACTTCAGATACGAAAAATTATGAAGAATTCTATAAAGCTTCGTAGGATATATAAATTTATATGCCCAATTTGAAAGCATTATCTATATGGAAGCTCACCCTTTTATCCACATAATCAGCCCGGAACCTGGCACGAGCCCTCTCTTAAGGATCGGAGGGAAGCAAAGGAGATTTGTGGCTCCAAACTTCATTAATATACTCAATTATGATGAGTGACTCACATATTGGCTTCCCTTTATGGATCAAGACAGGAACTTTCTTGTGAATAGGATTCATCTCTAGAAGCAAAGGACTCTTGTTGAGTAAATCCTGCTCCTTTGACTCATAATCGATCCCATTCTCTGCCAAGGCAATTTTCACCCTCATTGCAAAAGGGCTAGCCCACAAACCCAGCAAAACCAATTCTTCTGCCATTGTTATGATCACAAAGCTTAGTTCTTGCAGGTGATTGTTTTTGTCACTGTGATGCTGAGAAGCTATCTGGCTAGGAAGTGTCGATATTTGTAACTGAACGGCCTATTGGATATCTTACACTTCTTTGTTTAATACTTTTTCATGTGGGTCATTGATTGCATGGTGATTTTTCCAACATTCATAAACAAATAGCAATGTTGCATCGTTATAGGCTTTGGTCAAGATTGGCTTGATAAACTTATTCACCCTGTAGCATCCTATTTTGGAGGTCCAAAATTTTTTATTTCTACAGGGGACAAGTCAATTCGCTAACTGTCTTCTTTGACCATATTTATTGTACAAATTAATGAGGTTATGGACCAACACCCACCAATAAGACCCATTTTATGCCAAGCCTTGATTCAGTGTTGAATTTTGGATGGTGAAATCACATGTTAAGAATGATCATGAGAGAGCTATTGTCACTTTCAAGAAGAGTTGTCCGTCTGCAGCAGCAGAGTGAGAGATGAAAATTTCCTACAATTATATTACCTTCTTTAAGAATACCTGGAAGTAATAATTGAAGTTTTGACCGATATAAATTCTGTACATATATATTGGAAGTAATGAAAACTAAGATAGATCCAAAAATAATTGAATATAAGATAGAAAAATATAATAAACTACAATGATTTTTTTCTTATATAGAGAAAACCTAAAAAACAAAAGGATAATAGAACTATAAATAAATATAAATTGTAAAATATAGAGCTTGAGATAAATAAAAAAAATTGTATTAAAATTTATTTGACTGCTCAAAAATTATAATGAAAGTAATATTTTTATAAATTTAATAGTTCAAACATTACAAGAAAATAAAAAAAAAAACTAAAAAGGATAGGATTTTCTCTATTACTAACACGTTCACATGCCTTAATTCACTATTCATTGGGTGGCAAATTATGTAAGCGGTTTTTTCATTATTTTTCTTGTGTTTTTGGGTACTAAGATGCAAATTTAACACCTTTTTTTTCTTCCCGTATGTTGCTACTTTCTTTTCAGTCTGTAACTTTATTTTTCTTTTATTTTGGCCCTTAAAAGCTTGGAGGAGAGATAAATAAGAGAGAGAGAAGAGAGGGGAGAAAGAGGGACAACGAGGTCCATTCCAACTATCTCGATGGTTGAATTTATCACCATTTTGTTTGGGTAAATGATTAGAATCTGTTTGTATTGGTAGAAAATAATGAAATGCGCAAAGAAGATAGATTAGGATCCAAAAATTATTTTTAATTATTTTTATTTATTTTTTGTATGATTTTTATGCAATAAAATAAATTTTGAAGTTCTAAAATAGTTTTTTGATGTTATTTAAGTGATTTTTAAGTGTTTTTGAAGGAAAAAAGGAGGGGGGGATTAAATTTGATTTAGGAAGGTCAAAATTAAAAACTTTTCAGCAACATTTTTAGTAAAATCAAAGTCATCGAAAATTATAGAGGTCACGGGAATTCAATTTTTTTTTTCCTTTTTTTCTTTTCTTTGAATTTTTTTCTTAAATAAGAATTTTTAGGCCAAATTTACAAATATCATATGTTATTATTTATATTTTTTACGCAAATAAAAGATAAAATATACATATACTATCTTTATATTTTAATTTTAGAATAAAATTTTAAAAAGTGTTTTTTACTTTTATAAAACATAAATTGGTATACTATATATTATGAATATGAATTCTTAAAATTTTTAAATGATATATATATATATATATATAGTTTTTAATCTAAAAGGTTAAAATTGTATTTTAGGTAATTTATCTCAATCCATTAGGTATGATCAAGACGTATTTAAAAAATTATTAAATCATTATTTTTATTAAAAAATAATTATACATGTTCACACACAATACAAATTATTTACTATGAATTTTTTTTAATATTATAGAACTAATTTATTTGAAATAAAATAATTAAAATAAATTTTAAGGGAACTAACTAATTATTCAAATACGAGTTTTTTATGTTAACATTATTGATTATTTTGTATATATATATATATCAAATGCATATGCTTTTAAAAAATAATCTTCCCATCAATATTAAATATTAAATAAGAATAAAATTTATTTTTTTATTAGTTAATTTTTTCAAACCTTAACTGAAAAAGGTGAGATGAGATCTTAAGGATGGAAGAAGACAACTTTCCAATATACAGCTCTTATAAACCGAGGGGAAAAAAAAAAAAAAAAAGTTGAAATTGTACTTTCACTGCCCGGTTTGAAGTTCAAAATCGTTGCTTGAAGACAAATTATTATATGTGATATCCCATTAACTCCTAGGCCTAAAGGCCAGCCTCATCATATGTAGCATATAAGTACATTATAAAAATAATACGATTATACCGTAGCTTACAATGCTTAAATGTGGGAAATATGGATAGTCATATTCTCCCTCTTTAAAATGAAAGCTTTGCGCTTAGAAATTATACTTAAAAATGCAATAAAAAAAATTGAATAACTATCAAAGAATATGATCTAGCACTAAAGGAATTGTCTTGATTTAATTAAAATTAAGATTTAATTTCTATTATGTTATACACAATCTAATTATATTTTTTGAATTTCACATGAGCTGGAGAGAAGTGTATCCATCCCAAATTATAATTTGCAATAAGGTCTAGTTTTTAGTATAGAACTATATAATATATTCTCCCTTCCTTGTAGTTCTTTATAAAATTAAAATGAGAATCTAAATTACGCGGGAGCATCCACCCTCATATTTTGGCTGAAAGTTTGGCATTCTAAAATAGTCGAAACTTTCAAACCACTATCCCTTTATTTATTATTTTATTATTTACTTGGGTTATATTTTAATTAGTTGGGATAATTTTAATTATGTGGAATTGGGCTAATTAATTGGTCCTCTTAAGTTTTGGATTTTCTATTTTATAAGGACATGACCGCATCTTATCGCGGTGTTCACTATTTGGTAAAAACCAAATAACAAAGCCGAACCGCATCAAAATATCAATTTCAATGCGATTTTTTTAAAAAAAAATAAAACAACAAAGAAAAATAATTTTGGTTTTTGGGTTCGGGTTCAATTTTTTTAAAAAAATTGATTAAATCAAAAAAACTAAAATTATATATATATATATATATATATATGATACCAATAAGACCCGAGGATCTAATGAATGGTGCGGGGTATGAAATGGAAGATGTATGAAATGCGGATTGATAGATGGGCGGCGAGCCGGCCACGAGAGATGCGGATGAACAAAACAAAGAAATAAATGAACTTTAAATTAAAACGAAAATTAAAATACATGGGCGGCGAGACTGACCCATCGAAAAATGATAGAAGAAAGGTACGTGGCGTTGTTTTACCACGGTTCGGCTACGATAGTACCAGGTACCGTTATTGAGCCGAGTCGTGGTATTCCAGCCGATATACCTCAAGAGAGAGAGAGAGAAATAAACATAAAAGAAAGGTAAACTTTTATTTATTTACAAAGGAAAGTACACTTACGGGAGAGGTTTTCGGAATCTCGAAGGAGGAAAAGAGAAATCTTTCTTAGAGAATGTACGAAAACTAAAGAGGAAAATTCTTCGCAAAGGAAATTGATTCTATTTTACAAGTCGAAATGAGCTCTCTTTATATAGAGAAAGTCTGTCATGAACGGTACATGTGAATAGTAACTATGAATAGTAAAAATGTACGGTAAAAGTAAATAGTAACTTGCTACGGTGTCTTCACGTGTTGATGAACGAGTAAGACGTCGAAAGCAATTTTGTCTTCTTGTGTCACGTGGGATGAACGATGACGAGTCTTGTGAATTCTTGTCTACGGAGAGAACTATTTTTGTCGGCGAGATAGGAAGATGCACGGAATGTGTAATTTTTGTCAAAGTTCACGGGTGGTGAGCTTGGAGAAAAGATACCAAAGCGATCGTCTTCATTAAGATTTTCCAAATGCGGCATGGGTTCGGATGCGGAATCGAAAATAACTCTTTGTGAGGGGTTTTGTCTGCTTTATGCAATTTCATCCATGATGGAGAAAAAGGTTTCATCATTATCGAGGGCTGCTGACTAAATTGATCATTAGGCTTGTAGATCCATGGGTGGAGGATCCGAGTACGAGATAGGGAAATTATCATGGAAAGGAATATGACCATGTTTTTGTAACCAATGGAAAATAGAGGTTTGTGATAGTAAGGAGGGTATGTTGTAATGATCCCACCATTTGACTTTAAACCTTCTTGTCAATCTCATAGTTTGTTCCGATGACGGGAGTCATAATACCGAAGCGAGATCCGTGGGATAAAGAATTTTGAGTAAAAAAGGAAAAGGGGAGACCATCTTTTTTCATAATCGGAAGGTGTATAATTGGTTTTGAAAATTTTGAAGCTTTACGAAACATACGGGACAAGTATTTCGGGGATAGCGTCCAAAAAGGACCACCAGTTGGGAAAACCATATGGGAATGCGATCGGGATTAATGGTTTTGGAAAAATGGATTAACCATGAATGATTTCTTGTATTATTTTGGAAGAGGAAAGAATTGAACCAAGCTTGTTGGTAATCCCGATAGGAAAAGGACGGGTGAGGTCCGTAACGGGATTTGTAAGATTTAGGAAATGGAATTGGACGAGAGAGGTCATTAGGAAATTTCCAATCGGATGGAGGAATGACTGTCAAGAATTCGACAAGTAGAGTAGGCGATTTTGTTTCGTCGAGTGTTGGAAAGTGTTTGAAAGTTGGCGGATTCGAGATGGATAAGAATATCTTCATAGTACCATTGAGATTTGGTTAAATCTAAAGGTTTGTAATGCCAGCGATAACCAAAATACTTTTCCACGAGTCAAAGTTGGGTTTTCGGAAAAATATCCTTTTTCAATGATGAAAAGATTTTGTACGGATGGTTTTAGGAAATACTTTGATGCGGATTTTTGGAAACTTGGTTTTGTAGGAAGGATTTGAGCTTTTTGAGAAGATGTATTTAAATCTAAAAATTTTGTTTTTGAAATAGCGAGTGAATGGAAAAGGCCATGTAGAGGGTAATGCGGGGGAATACGGAGATTCTGAGAAAGGGGTTTTGTAGAGGAAGAACCTTTCTACGAGTTTTTCAAAATTAGAGGGGAAGCCATACACGAGATGTTTTGCAAGGCCGGCGTAAGTGCGAGTGATGTGATAGTTTATCTAACCAAGTATTAATAGATTGGGGATTAATAGGAATATTTGGATTGTGTGGTGAAGAAATACTATCTCCGGAGATGAGGGGTTTTGTGGAAGAGAAGGGTTTTGATTTTTACGGTAAAAGGGGGTTTTTCCCTTTATCTCTCTTGGCCATCAAGACTGTTTTGCAGAAATTCTCTAGTCAAGAAATCGGGAATATAATTTTGTTCTCCTTTAATAAATTCAATGTCAAAATCAAAAATGCTAAGGATTGCTTGCCATCGGGCAAAAATTTGTTTTGAGGCAATATTTTGAACATCTTTTTGTAAAACTTCTTTAGCGAGTTGCAATCAATACGAAGGGTAAATTTTTGATTGAGTAAATCACTTTGAAATTTTTGGATGCACATGACAATGCTGAGTATTTCTTTT